AAGATGGTTATTTAGCAAAAATTGTGAAGTACCCATCAAACATGAATCGTAAATATTTTACTTAAATAGTCAAATCACACAAATGGAAACGAACTTTAAAATGTTAGACTAATTTATTATTATCAAATTAAGAAAGTATCACTGAGATTATTTAAAATACATTTTTACTATTCATGTTATTTATATATCGCTAACGACCAATTTGAAGTGCCACTAAGAAACAATAATACTATAAGAAAAGAAATTATAGTTAGAATATTAATAATCTATCAATAATTATATATATTTATATATATATGTGTGTGTGTGTGTGTGTGTGTGTGTGTGTGTGTGTGCAAGCGAGATACATACACATACGCAGAAATTTACACGTATAAAGAAGTAAGTATTCAATAAAAATGGACGATACATAAATTTTCCTAAATTTCAAATATTTTATGTTTGTCGTGGATTGTTTTGTATAAGTTCTGTTCAAAATATATAAAAAATGTATCAAGACAATTATTAATTTGTTAAAAAATTCAAATTATTGAACGTAAACAATCGTTGTCTTAAAGATGATAGTTTAAAATCTATACATTATAGATTGATATATAATTACATAATCTATATCTAACTAATTTAAATGACATTTGATAAATAAGGAAAACTTAAGTATTTGAAATGGTGTATATAAATAATATTTTGAAATTTGAAACTTAAGCACCTATAATTAAAAAATATATAACCAAACATAACTTAATGAAAAGAAAGTATTTCTATATACTTAAAACAGAGCTCTAAATTTATAAAATTGTATTAAACATTTCATTTCAAAATCTCATATCATTATAATCTGCGCATTCTTATTCAAAATAAATTCACAAACTTTTATTTTAATTACTACCATTAATGGTTTTTCTTTGACTATTCAAAAATAAAATTTGTGATGTAGCGTACAAACATAAAATGTTAAGCGTTTGTAATTGTAAAAATATTTTATCTATGCGTAGATCTAAGCGATAAATACCAAAAAACAAATAAAAGCACATAATCCAAAAACGTGAATGTAACGTGGTCAATTTAAAAATATTGCTTTTTATAAAAAAAATACTTGCATAACAGTATAGAGCTAACATTATTAAAAATAAAAAGTTTATCAGCATAAATCGAAACTTCGAGCGACCTTTATTTTTTCAGATCGTAGTAAGTTATACAACTGTTAAATTCTAATAATAAAATATCAGTACAAAATAAAAAACAAGAGAATCAAAATTGTCTAAATTGCGAATAAAAATATACAAATATAAAACGAACTTTACATTTATTTTTGGCAATTCCGTACTAACGAATATTAATAAAATATAAAGGACATAAATAGCTATGTGAGGTAGACTATAAATAAAAATTTAGTTGTAAATATATTTTTATTATTAGAAGTTTATATATGTAAGTAAGCTTTCATACATAATTATAGTTAATTATGACATAAATAATTCGTAGAACGAATTTTCATTATTGCTTCTTCTGCTGTAATTAGATAGTGTATTAAACAATTATATGAATTAGAAGTTGTAAACAAATAAATCAAAATTATTGTAAATTTTGTTGCGTTTGATTTTCTATACCTGTATTATTTAATTTATCTACAAATAGGCATTTTTAATATTTTTTTCATGAACATTGAATGTTCATTTAATTTTTTATTTAATAAACGATGTATTCAGTTTGTGTTATTTTAACAAATTTCAAATTGCTATTTTTCATATAGCTTCAATAATTATAGCTTACATTTAATTAATATTTGTCTTTTTGATTATTATTTAGTTTGCATAAATAGCGTATACAATTACTTTAAACAATTAATAATATGTTCCAGCAATTTATATTGTAATAATAATAATAATAATAATAACAATCAATTCTAATTATAATTACATAAATTATAATTGCACTTTATTTTTAATATTTGGAATAATTAGTTATTTTACGGTGAAATATTAATTAATACAATACTAAAATAAGTAATATTAATTAGATATTACTTAATTGCTTTTGAAAATTGAAATTTATAATTAACTTTCCTTTTATTAACGGTAGCAACTTATATATTTATAAAGCAATTTAAGTTTCATCAAATTTGAAACACGATGTCATGTTTTCTATTAGAAAGAATTGGAAATTAGAATCCTTTAATGTTCATAGATAAATATACGATTACACTTTCAATATTTTATCAATATACTTTTCATTTATTATTTCAATTTTATTTCTTCGGTATAATCAGTTTGTGAAATAACGATTACACACAAAATTTATTTATACATTCAACTGTTTATATTTACAGTAAGCTGCACGGCAGGGAACTGAGCAGATAAGTGCAAGCAACTGTGCAATAAGTACAAGAATACATAATTTCATGTAATGTAAATTAAAAATATAAGTGGCATTTTCAGGGAAAATTTCTTCCGTTGTAAAAAAAAAAATAGAAAATGAATGAACAAGACTATAATTTTGTCAAATGGCGTTGAATTATATTTAAGCTTCGGTTCTTTTGAAGGTTGAAATTTGCAAGGAAGAATTAGAAAACAAGTTAATGCAAGCATAAATCGACGAGAAAGGGGCCTAGCTCGATAATTTGTAAGTAACAAATAGAGGAGAACGTTTGAAATAACTAAAAAAATTTGCACAGTGTAGATGACAATAGGTTTACTTACCTTATGTTAAAAAAAACTAATATTTGAATGATTAATAACATATATTTTCAATTACTTGACTCGGTTGCAATATAACGAAAATCTAATTTATACTTACTGATTCTACCGCGATCTAATTTAAGTAATTAAGAATATTTTCTATGTAATAGTTATGACGTTAAAACAAATTGAAAAATGAAAGAATTACTTTTTATTAATGGTTTATTATAATTAAATAACATTTCATTAATTTAAAAATATAATTATGTAAAAAAAATAATCACATTGTTATGAACGCAGTATTAATACATATTAATTAGTAATTACCAATGGATTATAAACTACTTACACATTAAACTATTTAAAATTTTAATTGTAGGGAAGAATTCGAGGAATATAATAGAAATTCTAAAATATAACTGTATGTTTTCATCAATTTATAGAAATGACCTTTTAGGATTAATAACCATTTAGACAAATAAGACGATAGATATGAAAAGATAGAGTAAATTTAAATATATAATATTTATTAAAAATACATTTAGTATACAAACAATAGTAAAAATTAAAAGTTCTGATTGTGTACTCAACACCCTGTTTGTAAGTTCAATTTTCAGAAAAATTAATTTATTAATTTTAAAGGAGACAAAGACTATTAATGCTAATAAAACACTTAAATAATTATGAATTTACAAGAAAATATGGCTGATATAAGCTCTATCCATCTATTCATTAATTAATTTCTGCTTGAACTATGCAAAAAATGAATTATTTGTTAAATATAATTAAAAATTGTTTAATAATTTGAGCTTCTAATTGTTTATTAATAATCAAAGCAGCACATTTTTAGCAATTGCAAATCAATTTAGAGCTAAGCAATCGTAGATATTGATAGGACAAGTTCATCGACTAGCATTGTATGAGGCTTCGTAGCGTAAATAAATGTTCAACACAGAAAGTAATAGCATTTGTGGTTGTAGTAGTAGTAGAAAGTAGTAGTCAGATGTGAGAACATTTGCAACCAAATGAATTACTGGTACAAAATTATTATCATATTCGAGTAGTATTTAAGAATAATAGTAATTAATTGCTACATCAGAACATTGAAAAAGTTAGTTGGAAAAAAATTTCTCCAATCAGCTCATACTTAAATTATTAACTAAAATAACGCAATACATAAGTGGAAAATAAAGTAATTGCGGAGTGACATAAAGAGGTAAACAATATCGAACGCTCGGACAGAAGAAACAAAAAATTCAGTCTACCCTTGCTCCAGCGACGATACTTGTGCAAGGGGCTTGAGGGGTGTCAGTCGTGGGCGGGCAAAACGCATGCGCGGAAACTCTCATGGCCCTAGCATCAGTACCGTCTTCGTCATTCCGTCTTCTCACTTTTCGCTTCAGCTACTGGCGCGCTTTCTTTTTTCAACACGCATACGCACTCGCTTGGTCAGAAGAGACAATACAGAGAGGCTTTGCAGTACACATACAAGGAGCGACAAAGCGCGCGGGATTCAGCGGCGGAGCTCCTCGACGCACAGTCTCCTGACTCCTATAGACCTATACTCAAAGGCTATTCCTCCTACTCCTGCGGCGGCGAGCGGCAGTTGATCTTGGTCACTCTTCGTTGACGCAAGTGTTTTTTTGTTGTGTTCATTATATTGAAAATCGCTTCTTGATCATTCTTTAAAGGTAAGTTTTGATTGATATTGCATCCCTTAAGTCAACGACCTCGTTAAAAGCAATGTTTACCGCATAAATAAGCTGAATATTTAGAAAAATGTAGGCCCACGAGCTCGCGAACCATTCACTACGCAATTAACGCTGTAGCGTCACCTCGGCATGGTGAAAACGTACAATACATACGCCGTCCGCCATTTTCTTTATTGTGCTTCCTTTCGGAGTTGGAGGGAAAGCTAGTTTCAAGCGTGCTTTTATTCTGGACTCTGCATCCATTTTCAGAATTTTTGTTTACTGATTAAACGGTCACCAATGGTTAACTTAATATAAGACAAAGATTATTACACCTACACAATGTATATCCTATTTGCACGCATTTAAACAGTTGAACTTTTTTCATTTCAAGATATGTATTATATATATATATATATATAATACATGCTTATTATAAATATGCACACATATGTACACACACACATACCCATAAGTATTGATGCAGATTGCATGCACACGCGCATATACATAATAGCGACAGATAATTTTTATATGCGTGTAAAAGATTAATTGCGGTTGAATTTTTCGACGAAATATAATTTAAGGGATGAGAGTTAATTTAAAAAAACAAGTTTTTTCGTATAAATATTAGCGAGAGAAATTGCACACGAATATTCGATATAATTAGCATTTTTTTAGAGATGGCACGTACCAAGCAGACAGCACGTAAGTCCACTGGAGGAAAGGCCCCTAGGAAGCAGCTCGCGACCAAAGCGGCGCGTAAAAGTGCACCATCAACCGGAGGAGTGAAGAAACCTCATCGTTATAGGTAATTCAAATGAAAATATAATAATTACCAATAAATATTCTAATTTCTTTTTCGCCAAAGACAAAAGTGACTTGATATTACTTAATTTTCAGACCAGGTACAGTCGCCTTGCGTGAAATCAGAAGATACCAAAAGTCGACCGAATTGCTTATCAGAAAATTACCATTCCAACGTTTGGTTCGTGAAATTGCGCAAGACTTCAAGACCGACTTGCGTTTCCAGAGTGCAGCTATTGGTGCTCTCCAGGAGGCATCCGAGGCTTACCTCGTCGGCCTCTTCGAGGACACGAACTTGTGCGCTATTCATGCCAAGAGAGTAACCATTATGCCCAAGGATATCCAACTGGCTCGGCGAATTCGTGGCGAGCGTGCTTAAATTCTGATAAGTTATCGGCGTAATGCTTTCCATTTCACCTTGTTTTCATACATTCAAACATTAATATTATTATTATTATTATTATTCCAAGAGGTTAGCGGCATTTTAGTTTGGTTCATATTTAAAAGATTTATTGCGATACTCACTGCCAAATATTCAAAAACGGCGGCACATTTGTTTATGTCTAGCTATATTTTGAAATCTGATTATTGTATTTTATCCAATTAAATTAAGTTGTATTTATGATTTGCTAAATTATATATTTTTTTTTATATATAACAAAATCACGATAGCTCTATGATCATAAAATGAAGAAGTTGAAAAAAAACAATATTCGTGTTCGATAAATCTCTATTTCTTCATTGTAATTTTACACTGAAAAATTGACGTATTTGCGTTTCTTGTACTTTTTTAGAATGTAACCCTTGAATGTATCGTTACTAATATAAGGAACACAGCGTAGCTTCTACTTCCAAATAGTAATGGAAGAATTCTATATATTATGGAAAATCTACAACCCAATAAAAGTTGAGCCTATTTTATAAGCATTCAAGTTTATAGGATTTATCATTTATGATAGGTCATGGGTATTGCCACTATAAACTGAATAGCCTGATAACTAAGTGCATCTTATATTGTGATGTACCTTTCCTTTGTACCACTGAATAATGGTTTTGTAACTTCAGTGTTTCAAATCGATGTTCGTGAACAAAATAATATCTTTTAAAATTAGATAATTTCTATTAGACTTTAGTGATAACGTAATTCATTAAGTTAATATCTAATTAAATGAGTAACAATAGTCCGGTGTTTGGACAGAATTAGCTTATAGTTACAGGTTCTAGATTACTCTGATCTGATTCATTTTGTGTATTCTTCGTAAATTGAAGACAAAGTGATTATTGTCAAAAATAAACTAAAATCTTGTGCGCAATTTAAATGGAGGGTCTCAAGTCAGAAAATATACATGCTTAAGCTCAGCTAAATTTTCTTTATTTTTTAAAAAAATGAATTATGTTAATCGTATCCTAGTATAGAGTGCTAGTTTGACAAAAAGAGATTTCATTGTTAATCAACATACCAAAATATGAAAATAACTTTTGAGACCTTCGGTTCTGAAAAACATTGTTGTAATTAACATGGAAATAAAACAATGTCAATGACCATTGTGTAAGAATACAGTTGTGTTTATTTGACAAGAATAACACAAGAATTGATTAATAATAATCAGTCATTAAATTATAAAAATAGTTTTTGAAACCTTCCGGTAAAAATGCATTGTTGTATTTAGCATAAAATATTACAATATAAATTACTATTAAATAAGGAAAAATGTAGTTATTATTTCAAAAGTATCCTTTAACCTACTTTTAATCAACTGTTTCCTATAAATTAATACGGATATTAACAAATACTTTTTACAATATTTATTCGATGAGCATTAATTCTTGATTAAATGCTTTAAATTTATAACCAGATAATATTACGCATTGAAATTTAAAAAAATAACTGAATAGTAATTATAATTTACAATAAAACCTAATTATCGCGTGTTACTCTAAAGAAAATAGAAGAAAAGTAGATTCCATGGTTTAAAAATCATTGGAGAATGTGCAATGTAATCACGGGAACAAACTAACAAAACCAGTTAAAAGAGCAAATATGGCGCTCGTGCAATCACGCAATATTATTCGTCTTTAGTCTAGCATTAGTGCCTTGCCTAATATCGCTCAATACCTTTAATTCCGCTCAAAATTGCGACATTTCTATTGCACTAATCGACCCAAATGTTTTTCAAGGAAAGAATTTTGAGATGCGAAATGCTATTAAAGAAGTTTTGCTATAATTATAATTTAAGGATAGAATGTACTGGGAAGCTTGGAAAAATCTTTAGCCATTTGTTTTCGACACCTGAGCATATCTGTCGCCGTGCAAGTAGCGCCTGCGCGTCATCGCGTCGTCATCCGCCGCCGTCGCTCCCGAGCTCCTTCGGGCAGCTTATTCATAGCGTATAATCCTAAAAAATAATGCTATTTTGTTAAATAAATAGATGAAAGAGAGAGAGAGAGAAAAGACAAATGTGAATTAACTGGAACGTTCGTTGGTGTTATTCTAGCACCAAAAAAATTGATTTTACATTTTCTCTTACGATGCTCTACGTGCGTGTTCGTATGCATATAGGTGCACGCACAACAAAAGGAAGCATTTGTAACGCAAAATACCGAATAAACGTTTTGTGTATATGATCGAAGTGTAACAATGGGAGAGAGCTTCTCTAAAATGCTTAGATCGAAGTGTAGAAGGAAAGAGAGGAATGAAAGTTGGAAGGATAAGGAATGATCGTCGTTCCTCGGCAGTATTTTAAAGCCCATTTCATTGTTTTGTACTGCATCCTCGTATCCTAACGGCTGTAAGTAGATATTGCTGTAGGAGAAGTCCGATGGGGTCGAGGACAGATAGTGCGCGCGAGTTACGGCAGCGGACGGTGAAAAGAGCCGAGGGAGTAGGTTTCGATTGTCCGCAGTAATAAGCCTAGGAGAGGAAATTTCGTCGTGCAAGTGAAAAGTCGTCCAATCAACTTGGATGCGACGAAAAGCCGATTCAGGCATTGGGATTGGTCCGGAGCGCGAGACTTTCAGGCAGTTTAATTTCCTAGGGCGGGGGAGAGAGACAGCGTCCGCACTGGCAGACGTAGACATACACACGTACGTATTCATACACGCACGCACGCACGCACGCATACATGGATGGACGCGCGCGCACACTCGTAAAGGCACTCTGAGAGGCCAACAAGAGCATAGCACTGCCATCGGGCACAAGGAGACGTTGTGCGCGCTTGATTACTCCGGATATTTTCTTCAAGAAAGGTGAGTAAAAATAAAAAAATATTAATTTAAGGGCGCGGATCATTCGCCATACGCGTAGGGTGCAATTTGGAATTTCGAAGAAGTGGTCGTGTGAATAGGTTTTATATCAAAAAGCCGCCTACGATTCTCACGGCCTGTAGTGATGCACCGCCTCGACTCCATTTTGTGTGTAATTGACGTTTTCGAGGGAACGGTCGAGGCATTACAAGCACGTGCAGTTGCGTTGTTTTTAAGGCTTGCGGAAACGAGCTAAAGTTAGAAAAACAGCACCATCGGAAGCCAGAGCTTCCCAAACTTCTCGTCAACCCATAACAAACATCTGGAGCGAGACCTCGATCTTGGCTCGCTCTCCTTGAGGGAGGTCTGGGACAAGAAACGTCGGTTTCCTCGGAACGTTCAGAGCGTGGTTCTTGTCTTGTCGGCGGTACCGCGCTTCGAAAGTCTCGTCCATTGCGCAAGTCCGTGGGGGCTGGAGTGGGGGCCATACAACTCGTGACGCCGTTTCTCGCTTCTTCCGCGCTCCACATCCCGCGTATCCCCTTCTACTCCCTCCATCGAGTTGGGTGTACGGCCAAGCTCGCGCTATACGGCGCCGCCCCCGTAACTTTTTGTCGGCGACTCACACCGAACGACGTTGTTGTCAGTCTATAAAGAGTGTGTGTAAGATCTTTGTCGATTGACTTAGGAAGTATCGCGTCTTTAATAGTTTTAAACGATTCTTATTTTTTAGTTGATTATAAGACTTCGACGAGATGGCACGTACCAAGCAGACAGCACGTAAGTCCACTGGAGGAAAGGCCCCTAGAAAACAGCTGGCCACTAAAGCGGCGCGCAAAAGCGCACCATCCACTGGAGGAGTCAAGAAACCCCATCGTTACAGGTCTCTTTTTATACCTTTGTTGGCTAATCATTTGTATCCAACTTGTCAGATTTTTATACGATAAATTAAACGCTCTTTATCGCTACTCGTTTACTTTACTACATTGCCTTCGTGTTATCGGCCACTTAGTCAACCTCGTAAATTATAGTGTTCGAGCTATGATTATTCATTAAATAATGGTCAAATAATTAAAAGTAATATAATATATTTAATTAAACTAATTAGATGATAAATAATTAATTAATCATTGATCTATGAATAATTAGGCTTGCTGAAACAGTGCTCTGGAAAGTCAATTACTATTAATGCAAAGTTGTGCTTATACGCCTTAACTTTTAGTTCATGAACTATTAGCTACCTATGAAGTATTACCTTATTATATTTAATATAATGTTACTAAAATCTATGTTCACATGGAAAATGTAATTTGATCGATTCATTTATTTAGTTATTTTATTACTTTTATCGTTCATTTTATACACTTTTTTAGATACTTAAAAAAATATATAAAAAACAAATACTTTTAATAAGCTCAAATCAGAAAGCAAAAATGATCTTTTTTATGGTTTATAGTACAGATAAAATTAATAATAAAAAGTTAGGCCTACAATATCTATCGTCTTAAATATTAATTTTAAGATATTTATAAAACCTTCATGAGTAAAATGGTGTCAATAAATAAAGTTAATACTTAATAAAGTAGTTTCAGTATTTATACATTTTTGTATTAAATTTCAATTTGAATTTTAGGCCTGGTACAGTCGCCTTGCGTGAAATCAGAAGATACCAAAAGTCGACCGAATTGCTTATCAGAAAATTACCATTCCAACGTTTGGTTCGTGAAATTGCGCAAGACTTCAAGACCGACTTGCGTTTCCAGAGTGCAGCTATTGGTGCTCTCCAGGAGGCATCCGAGGCTTACCTCGTCGGCCTCTTCGAGGACACGAACTTGTGCGCTATTCATGCCAAGAGAGTAACTATTATGCCCAAGGATATCCAACTGGCTCGGCGAATTCGTGGCGAGCGTGCTTAAAAAGTGTCATTTACTACATACATAACATTTACTACTACTACTATTATTGATAGTTTGATCTTGATATTACTATTCATAATAATGGATGGAAATATACATTCATTCCAATCCACATATTGTGTTGCATGTATTATCACTTTGGCATAAACATTAGTACATTCACCTTTTACCATAGATATATCTATATTAGTCAAGCCTGAAAATAAAGATGCTTTTTATGTAAATTTCAAAATATAAAAATTATTTAGTTTACTATATGGTATTAAAATAAAAAAACTACATTTATTTAGTAATTATTCAGACTTCTAGAAAAATAGAAAATTTCTTATTTCAAATGGACACATGATATAATCTATGATTTTATCTAGTATTATAATTATTTGACAGAAAAACTCGATTATTTTTATTAATCTATGATCATCGTGTATCACTGTCATTCATGAACAGAGTATAATTATTGGATATGTGTGTGTGTGGGTGTGTGCACGCATACATACGCGAACCCATGTATTTATATATGTATGTATGTATGTATATACACATATGGTGCGTATATGTATACGTGAGTGCGTGTGCATATACGCAATACGCACCATACGTACATGCACTGGAAAAATAGCGTGCTCTTAGAAACTAAGATCTCCTTTTATATAGCGTAATTTGACACGGCAAACAATTTAGAATGTACGAAAATTACATAAATGGACTTTGACAGATAATTCACTGTTCCTTATGTGAAAAAATCGCGTTTCATAAATAAACAATTTAAAGTCAATTACAAAGTTTATAATTTACTCACCTCTATCTTAATTTTGTTTTCTTATTTATATTTAATTTGGCAGTTCACATAGTAAATTTAATTAATAAAAATACTATAAGTTTTAAAATTTTAATAAACAAATTAAGTGTGCAATAAAAGGTAATATTCCAATAAGTGAATAGGTTTCTCAATATATTATATAAAACACATAATCAATGCACTTTTATCAAGATTAAATCTACAAGATTAAAATATATTAAATCATAGAAATACATCACCAATAATGCATACTTATGTCTTCTATTATACATAATTATGTTTATTTTACATAAGATTATGTTATTTGGAAAATATTTAGTACTTAGTAATAAAATGAAGATAATGGTTTCCACTGCATAAAACATTATGATAGATAATAATATTGTTTATATCTTATTATAAAGGTAAAGAAAAAAATTTGTATACATTTAATTCTTATGTTTTATTTCATATTGAAATAATATTTTTATTGAATGTTATAAATATCTACATGAAAGGAATTATAATTCATATGTGTGTATGTATATATATGTACATACGTATAACAGTTTATTAATTACTATATTTACTTTATAAATAAAACAGACGTATTTACAATAATTTTTCTGAAAATTATATATTTACTTTGTAAAATTAAAATAATTATCAAAAACTATTATCAATCATATTTTATTTAATAACTCAATAATAGAATTATAATTAAATAAGGTTTTTTGCACTTTGTCCATTATCATTATATTGCTATCGTTATATGTTGTTGATTGTAGCAGTGCAATATATTTCGAAATTTATAATATTGACAAATAAGTTTAGAAACTGACTGAGAAGTATAATACAAAAAGGAATTTTAAAATTGGTTTTGTAAAAATACAATTGAAAAATTACTGTTTTTATTTATGGTGAAAAAAACTGATTCTTGATTAATGAAAAATGAAAATTCTTCCACAGTAAAAATATTACAATGAGCGTTGTATTGCAATTTTTAATAACGCGTGTAATTTTATATTTACTTAAATACTATTTTTACAATAAATAATATAACAATAAAGATTTTTACGCATGTGTATAAATAAAAATATGTATATTCTCCTACGAAGTTGAAGAGTGGAAAATTATGGTCTTAATATCTAATGTGGTTGTTGTTTCCCATTACTGCAGTGGTAAGTACTCGTGGCTGTCTTCTAGTCCTAGTTTTAAAACAGACACGAAACATCAAAAAAGAAAGTGAATCGTATTTGCATTCAAATCGATGAAAACAACTTGAAGAGTCTTGAGTACAGAACAACATGCACCATACGATGAAACTCACACAGTTCCAACACTATGCTTACAATTATTTTATTAATATTTTATTAATCTGGTTCAAACATTTGATAAAAGATTGCTATTAACTTATAATAATGTATTATAAGACATTCACACATAAATTAATTAATGTAATTACTAGAATTTATTAATCAGCTTTTATTCCTAGTTGCATTATAGAATTTTGAACTATAACAAAATCACTATCGTTACAAACTATTTATTACAAAAAATAAATTTCAAATATTTACAAGGTAATAAAATTAAAATTAAAAGAGTATACTAATAATCAGTAAACCGTTTTTTTTAATTTAATTTTAAAGTACTCCATATTGTAATGAATATAAATTGCAAAAAATAAAATTAGTACTAACAATTTTCTCAAAAGTTTAATCTTATTATTAATTTGTACTATCATTCAAAAAGAAAATCTACGATATTCTTTTTTGAATTTCATAAAATTAATACAACTAGTTCGTTTGCGCTTTACAACACAATCATATGTTAAGACACTAGTAAACAATAAATATATACGATTATAAATTTATGAACGTTATTTGTGACATACTATGCATATAAAAGCATTGAAGTGCTCAAATATATTTAAGGTTCAGTAATCCTATTAAACAGAATTTTATCATTTTCTATAAATATTAAACAATGGAGTATTTTCAGAGAGTTGGTGAAATTATTAATTTGTTTTCAGAATTCAGAAGAATATTACAATTTTTGTAAAACAAATTTATATAAACCTTATATCTGTGGACAAAAATTTAATTCTTCCGGGCTATTGGATCAATAAAAACACAAATCAAATTTTTGATAAAAAATTGCAGTGAGGTTTTAATATATGATCGCATATTAACAAAATTAGGTCTTCGGCAAAGTTGTTCTGAACTCATGGATCAAGAAATATAAGATATGGAACACAGATTGCATATAAATACGTTTGCAAGTCATATAATACATAAAAACGCAACTAGAATTTGACATTAATATACGAAAGTTAATAACATTACGCAAAAATAATGTACTATCACAAGAAAAAATCTAAAATTAAAAATAATAACAAAGAATCCTAATATACCCGAATACAAATATCAATATAAATTAAAATTAATTTGTTGCGGATCATGTACCTTTAAAAAGTTTGTCTTTTAAAAATGAATTTTTATTAATAGCCATTTAAATAAAATTTATTGCGAATATCTTAGCATAAACTTAACTATATAATTATTTAAATAGATCTGCGATTGATGACTGCAAGTACATGATCCTTTCTTGTAGAATCACAGAATAAAGGAAGACTATAGCAGTAATATTTATTTTGTTGATTAATTTAATGTTACCTGTAGAGATCTCGAACAGTTTGATCTTCTCGCGATGATGCATTTCGACATGTATTGAGCTTATTCTCGAGAGCCTAGTTTGAAAGCGAATCAAATTAAGCTTCAAAAATACATTAATAAAATTGAATAATTGTATGTGTATTTATTTGTAAATTGTATAGATTAATATAAAGTATAATTATTAAATTATCAACAATATTTTACACGAAAAATTAAAAAATATAAAAAAGTTTCGAAAATATAATAAATGATACAAAATGAGTAGAAAGGGTTATATAATATAAGTATTAAATCAAGCAAATTTAAAAATAACAAAATCCTATATTATATAAATATAAATTGAAAAATCATCGATTTTCATTTCAGAATCGATATTTTGTTTATTTAAGTTGTTATTTATTAAAATTCTAGTGCATCATGCAACTGATGGTGTTTTTGAGATAGTTGAAAACATTTTTTTTTTATCAAAATAAGAATATTTAACTGTCCCACATTTCATCAAACCCACCTGCCATACTACAAACACTTTAGACTACAATATACGTTTTATTTTTAATTTTAATTCCAATAATAATATTAATAACAATCCCAAATAGCAAAGTCATATTGTCAGGTCAATTTATAATTGAATTAAGTGTAATATATGCAATATATTCAAGTATTAATGTTATACTTACCCCAACTTTTCGCATCAGGTCACCAATCATGTTCATGGCAAGTATTCTGGTACAGGGTGTTAATGATGGTGGACTGACATTATTGTTGATATTGTTACCAATCATACCCCCTACTCCATTTCCAACTAGTCACAAACAATAAAAACAAGATAGATATTACTATTAAATTACTAAAACACCAATTAAATATAAAGGCACACAAACTTAACAAAAAACTCAAAACTAGTAATAAAATATTTTTATCTTTATTGGAAGATGAAAAAGAATCCATACAAAAATTTAAATACATCTCAACAATATTAAATTTGATGCTTCATTAAAAAAATAAAAAAGATATTTTTGATTTGTTTTCCTTTTTCTTACACGAGCCTGGTACAAAAAAGTATTTTGTTTTACGCAAGGCATTACGCATCTTACTTTTTAATGTTGATGTTGACACATTTGTTGTTGATATTGGACTAGTAGGAGGAGTATGAGTTTCCAATTCAAATTGTAGCTTATTACTGTCTACATGGTTACGAACTCTTTCAACAGCAGCAGACTTGTCATTATCAGGTTGATGTCGAACTTGAACTTGAATTTCTTGTTTCAAGTCTGTAAATAATTTAAATTTTATTAATCTGTAATATAAGTTTTGATATTTCAATTTATGATTTTATGACTAACCTCTGATCTCATCTTTTAGTCGCTGAACAGTTGCCCTTAAACTTTCTTTTTCATCTAATTCTGATTCAAGTAATGCAGTTTTTTCAAGAGCCACATTAAATTTGGCTTCCATTTCTTCTTCCGTTACTTTGCTAACCCTATAATTTAAGTAATAGCACCATAATTGTGAAAAAATATTGAAAATAATATTGAACATACCTATGAGCTCTTTCTAAATCATCATTTTTTTGTTCCAATTCTCTGACATATTTAAGTAATTGATTGTTTTGTATTTGTAATTCTTGAGCTCTAGATTGAAACATAGAGCAATCTATACTTTGTTGATCCAATCGACTTCGTAGCTGTTCAACTTCAGATACTAATCTTGAATTCCTCTGTCGCAATTCACGATTTGTTTTATCAGTTTGTTCCAGTGAAGCTTCTAATTCTTTTTCTAACATTTGAGAATTTTCTTGGAATTCTTCCAATTCCCGTTCCACATCATCTTTTCTGAAATTTAAATAAATATATTTATTTTATTTACTATTATTTGATAAATAACTACAAAACAATAAAATTTATTATAACATATATTTTATTTTGTAAGTTGTACCTCTGATGTAACTGTTGAGCAAGATCCATCCAGTATTGAATCTCATCATCCTTATTATTGAACGGAGGGGGAGGATCAATTTCCATCATTTTTAAAAAACTTTAAACTTTTTATATCAAGAATTAATAAATAATTTTCAACAGCAAATACAGATTATTGTAGATTTTGTAACCAGTATAAAACACGGGATAGAACTAAATTTATGTTATAAGTTCTTTGACATACATTTACTGTAAATTTAAAAAAATAATTTATATAATATTACGTTTATGCAAGACAAAAAATTCATTTCTAAACAAATATTTTACACACAAATTTTCATAAAAATTATTTAAAACCAAATTTAATTCAAAATAAAAAATACGTTAATAAAATAAGCATTGTATGTTACCATTGTATGTTACCAAACAACACGAGTAATACTTGCTTGAAATAACTTATTTTTTAATAAAAATAAAAATTGTCTTATAAACTTAAGTAAGTATAATTGTACAGATTGTAAGATTTGAACGAATAAACAGCAGACCACACTACTGCGTCGACGAACCAAAGCATCGTATTGAATGACGCGCACATTACAATTCTTTCAACTGGATTTATAACTATGTACAAAAAGACCTTGAGTTAAAAAAGAGAAGAAAGAAAATATGCAGAAAATTATGAGACAGCAAGAATCTAATGCCAATAGCGAAATTACTGACATGAATTTGGCGATTTTCATTAAATGTCACACTACTTTTAATACACTGTAAGAAAACATTCCTAAAAATATGAACAAAATAAAAATACAATTTCTGCATTTAAAGATATATCTTATATACTTATTGCATAAACTTACTCGTAATTTATAAAATCTTATTACATTAGCCGATAGAGTGGAAAAACGATGATGATATGCTTTCTTACGTGTGTCATGTCATACACATGTACAAAAAAGTGGTCAAATTGCGTCAAGAAAATCTGTTTACAGAACGCAAAATGGCAGAAGCCAAAAAACGAATTCAGAGAAAAAGATGGCGTTAGTTATATTAAATTTTATTAAATTTTATTACGCATGCGCTTAATTAACATAAATTTGATTTTTCATTCAATTATTTACCTTTAATCTGTTATCCATAGAATTTATAAATGTAGTGTGCATAAAGCACATACCCGATTAAGGTTATTTTACTATGCTGTAGAAATGGTTATTTTTGAACGAGCAGGTAATTATTCATGATATAGCTTATCTATGATAATGAATACAATAAAGTAATACGACATTTAAAATTATCTACGAAATTTTTCTTATTCGATCATATACCATTTTATTAAATAAATTTATTAAATATCCAGTAATGTCGTAAAGAACATATCAGAAAAAAGTTAACGGTGTAATTTTTCAAATATAGATATATTACTTATGGCTTTGTTCTAATATAAAGCTTTTATTTTTTAAAATCAATGTAATGAAGAAAGAAAATTTGTAATAATTTAATAAACAATTACAATGAACAACTTGTTTTTAATATTTTAATTTTTCTTAAAACGCTTATAAATATATATTATTTATCATAAATTAGAAGTACAGTCATTGCAGTGCCCTTTTTATGAAAAAATTAAGATTAACAATTAATTATATGAAAAAAGTAGCAAATTCAAAATTAAAAACTTTCCATTTATTACTAATATTTTATCTATATTTAATTATATAATTTACTTATCTTAAAAATTGAAAATGTTATTGTAGCAATATTATAAATAAATTATTTTTAAAAAATCTATAAACACAAAATAAAAGCCCTATTTCTTTATGTAAAGTTGTCGCTTTATGATTTTAAATTTAATATATGTTTCTCTATTTACAGTTACACTCTAGTCTTATTATGTTTGTTGATGATCTCACACGGGCATGCGCGATCATACATTATATTTTTACAGTTCCATTATTTGTACTGAGTTTTATATATGATATTTTTAACATTCATCGAGTTTTAATGAAATAAATTATAATTTTATTAAACTGATTTATTTAGATATTTCTTGTCAAAGTTTGATCTTCTACTAGATCTCACAGTAACGTTACTCAAGATAATTATAGCTGTATTTTATAAGATGCATGACGAGCTGCTTATTGTCATCAATGCATGATTTTTAAACTGATTAAATCATAGTTACATATTTTTTATGCTCAATTAATTATGTTTTCAAGCCCACTTTTATGTTTTCTGGTACAGCGATTTCTTACATTTTACCTATTTGAATACTTAAAACATCTTAAACATTTTATTTTACCTTAAAATGTACTTTATAATGTTTATATTATCAATCCATTTAAGAATTAATTTTTGTTGAACTATCTATAGATTCATTCGTGTATGAGTCTATCTTTTTTTGCAATTAAGGAAGATTTTTTTTAAAAGAATGTAAGCTTAAACATATTCTTAATTGCTCATTTAAAGTTAGTCTTTTTATTTAAATCAATGTATTGTTTTAAACAATTTAATATAAATGTTATTAAATTTAATAGCAGTAAAACAAAAAATCAGTACAAAAGTTTATGTTTCAAATTGAAATTTGATATATTTATTGGGTGGAAAATTAACTTTCGTAATTAATGTTAATTATAAAAATAATTAAATAAAATAATAATAATAATTATTATCTGATTAAAAATATAATGCGAATATTTTCTTATATTTTCTTCGTAGCAGTACGTATATTTAAAAATTTATTATTTCATATATTTTATTTCAAGCAAATAAACTTTTATTTTATATTTTATAGATTTTGTTTAATCATCTATATGTAAAAGATTTTCTAGTATTAACTGATTTCGCTATGATATATTAGTATTTTTAGAATATATGATTGAAAATCGATAAGAATTCAAGATAATATTACATGAATTTATTTTATTGAGTTTTCTAAAAATTTTTATTTATAAAAATTTTGTAGTTCTTAATTAATTTTATTGAATTTAGAAATTTAACGTAATCTTCAATTTGTACATTTTAATGTAATTAATTAAATTATTTTTTATTCTCCTACATATTTATTTGCTTGTTTTCGATCCAAAGATAAAATTTACTAGCCATATTACATGAAATAATTTAATTAATTTTTTATCCGAACTACTGTTAATGTGAAAACAGAAATTTCAATTTATAAGTAGACGTATATCGTAATTTTTTTTTATTTATCAGTTTTACGATACTCTACAATTTCCGCCATATAGATATTTATTATCCCTGTATAACATAACTGACTATTTATTCGAAGTGCCTAAAAAAATTGCTTTGCTTTAAAGTGTAGCAATTTTTAGGCTATTAACTATTAAAAAGCATTATAAATTTACCTAAATAAAAAATTCACATTACATTAACCGATGATATTAATTTGAGAATTCACATGCGCAACAGTTTTGTTCATAGTTATGTAAAACAGAGCCATCTACTGTTCTCATTTGATGCCGCAAAGCACTAATATATATATAAAGAAAAATTATTAGATTGCTTTCCTTGAGTTTTATACTTGAATATATAACAGTATTTTATTAATAAAGTAAAATGGCAAGTATATTTTTACATTTAACTATCTATTTTTAATAATTTTATTAGTTTAAAATGAAATAGTGATTTACGTAAATAAATTTATCGTTTGTCAAATTCAGTTTTAACTTGAGTTAAATAATTATTTATTGCAAACAAATGTTATAATATTTTGATATGAATATCACCTACATATTGTTTTATTAAATTTATAAAATAAGTGATTACAAGCAAAATAATGAGCTTCGTAATATTTGTATTAACCTAACCTTGTAAGGACGCAGTTTACCATGTGGTGTATGCTTGATAATCATAATTAAACATTTTTCTAAAACTAATAATTTGATGTAATTAATGTATATAAATATATAGTCATTAAATATTCATTAAATATTATATTTAATTAATTTTCTTATAAACAATTGACTGATTTTTATTTATTTTTTTCGACTATTTTTCAAATAAAATTATATATAATAATCATTATCAGAAGAATTATATTTATTTATGGGTGTTATATTTCTTTAGTAATGAAAGACTTCTTTAAATTTATACTACATTATAAGATTCTTCTACAATATCAAGTTTTTTTATGTATTTAGCTAAGATTATATATATATTTTTTTTATTAGCAACCTCAAATTATCCTCCTTAAAGAAGGAACAGACTTGTCACAAGGGAAGCCTCAGTTAATATCTAATATAAATGCTTGTCAAACTGTTGTTGATGCTGTACGTACAACACTTGGCCCTCGTGGTATGGATAAACTTATTGTAAATGACAATGGAAAAGGCACAATTTCTAATGATGGTGCTACAATTTTGAAGTTACTCGATGTTGTTCATCCAGCAGCTAAAATCTTAGTTGATATTGCAAAATCTCAAGATGCAGAAGTAAATAATATGTTTAAATATATTTTCTTTGAGTCTCGAAATTAAAAATTATTTGGTATTTATTTAAAATAAATAAATATCAGTCTTAAATTCGAGGATATCAAGGACATGTAATTCTAGACTGACATTTTTATGTTGAATAAAAAATGTCTCAATCAGTTTCTACATTTTGTAAAAATGTTTTTTTTTTAAGATTAATATAATAATTTAGATTTTAAAGTAAAATTTAACATTTTTTCAGATTGGAGATGGTACTACAAGTGTAGTTTTACTAGCTGGAGAATTTCTTAAACAAGTTAAATCATTTATTGAAGAAGGTGTTCATCCACGAATTATAATTAAGGCATTTCGAAAAGCAATAGAATTAGCTACAGAAAAAATTAATGAGCTAAGTATCCAAATTAAGAAAACTGATGCTCAAAGTACTCGAAATACATTAGAAGAATGTGCTGCCACAGCATTAAATTCAAAATTAATTCACCAACAACGTAAATTCTTTAGTAAAATGGTTGTTGATGCTGTGCTTATGTTAGATTATCTTTTACCGCTAAATATGATTGGTATCAAAAAGGTAAGACCTATTTTAGAATAATATAAATTGTTATTTATTCAATTCTAACAAAGATTAAATGAAATAAAATTCAAATATATAAATGTAGTCGTATCGAATTAAAGTTGCTTACATCAATTGATAAGGTAATCCGACTTTATGTACTAGGTCTCTGGAGGAGCTTTAGAAGATTCTATGCTTGTAGCTGGTGTTGCTTTCAAGAAAACGTTTTCTTATGCTGGTTTTGAAATGCAACCTAAAACGTATTCACCTTGTAAAATTGCATTACTTAATATTGAATTAGAATTGAAAGCTGAACGTGACAATGCAGATATTTGTGTGAAGAATGTCACTGAATATCAAAAAATTGTTGATACAGAATGGCAAATTTTATACGATAAACTCAACAAAATTCATGAAAGTGGTGCAAATGTCGTTTTATCTAAATTACCTATTGGAGATGTTGCTACACAGTTTTTTGCTGATAGAGACATGTTTTGCGCTGGTCGTGTAATTGATGAAGATCTTAAAAGAACCATGAAAGCTTGTGGTGGAGCTGTTCTTACTACGGCTAATGACATTAATGATTCAGTTCTTGGTCGCTGTGATACATTTGAAGAAAAACAAATTGGAGGGGAGAGATTTAATTTCTTTTCAGGATGTCCAAATGCAGAAACTTGCACATTTATACTCCGAGGTGGTGCTGAACAATTTTTAGAAGAAACACAAAGATCTTTACATGATGCTATTATGATTGTTAGGCGTATGATTAAAAATGATGCTGTAGTTGCTGGTGGAGGTGCTATAGAAATGGAACTTTCAAGAGCATTACGGGATTACTCTCGCACTATTGCTGGAAAAGAACAACTTATAATTGGTGCTGTTGCTAAAGCTTTAGAAGTTATTCCAAGGTAGAATAATTTTAATTATTGCTATTTTTTTCGTTATTAATATTTATGGAGTTTCAATTAATTTTATTTAATGACATACTGTAAAAGATATTTTGTTTATTAAAAATAAAAGTAAGCAATAATTAAATGAAAATTGTATAGAATGTTAAAAGTAAAATTTTAGAATAACAAATAAAATAAATCTTGCATAAAAAATTACTTATTCAATATAAACAAGTCAATTAATATATATTTTATAATTTTCTTCCAGGCAACTATGCGATAACGCCGGTTTCGATGCAACGAAAATTCTTAATAAACTTCGCCACAAACATCATGTTGGTAAATGTTGGTTTGGAGTCGATATTAACGATGAATTTGTAGCTGATAATTGGGAAAATTGCGTTTGGGAGCCTGCAGTAGTCAAGATTAATGCATTAACTGCAGCTTGTGAAGCAGCTTGCCTTATTCTTTCTGTCGATGAAACTATTAAGAGTCCGAAAAGTAATAGTGGAGATGGGCCGCAAATGCCTGGTCGTGGGATCGGCAGACCCATGTAATACCTCTTCTTCCACTCGATTTAATATTTCTATAATTAAAGTTTTAATGCTTTTAAACATATAATTTTCATAATATAATGCACATTCAATTAAATGTAAGCAAAGGTAGCTTATAATTTAATTTGAAAGTATATGTTCTTTTAAGTTCATCATTTATATTTTATTATGTTCCAAGAATGTGTAAACTTAATTTAAATTAAAAAATTTTTTACATACAATTATAATAATAAAATGGCATAAAATGAACTAACAGAAATGTAGCTGTAAACAAGCATTTATAAAAATCAAAAGTATATTAAATGATTTATATATCGTATATTCATCGCATTACTTTAATTATTTTTATACTGCTTGCGATATTTATAATTATAAAAATAATAAATTAAACGAGGTTTATCATAAATAACATTATTAATACTTATCAATTAATTTATTTTTCATAATATATAATAATTGTAAGAAATATAAATAATATACACAAAATAAGTTTTTTTATCAAATTTCAGAGAAACTAATTATTAAATGGTTTAAAAATGTATATATAAATGCATTGTGTACTATACGCTTATTACTATATTTTTATCAAGTACATATCTAATCATACATAATTAGTAAAAAAATTTACAGAAGTCAGCATCTGTAACATTCACACCATTATAACTATTTTAAGAATCTTGATATGTACAGTTTATTAAATTTGTACGTAATAATTTTTATAAATTCTAAAAGTCACGATGATAAAAAAAAAATATTCCTAATAGATTATTTAGATTTCTATTTTATTAACGTGTGCATTGGTAGAAGTTACATTATTGCTATATTTCTGACATTTACGTTTAGATTGTAAAAAAATTGCACCTCTGATACAATTTGAATTTAAATATTTTTAATAGTCAGGTCAAAGAGTTAAAAATAAAAGAGATGTAAAGACAAATTTAAATTTAACTTAATTATGTATTATCGTATTAATAAAATATTGAGCAAGATTTAATTGGTGTGAACGAAGTTTTAATATTTTTTGTGACTCATAGGTAAATAAGTCATTAAGAAAGAAATCTTTTTTTGTAATGTAAAAGTATTTTAAACTAATTTACGTTTTAAATATAAAAATATATTTAATTATAAAATTGTATAAATTAAATAAAATATATTGATAGTAGGTTAATTGCAAGAATTAATATATATTTTTTAAAATTATAATCTTTTAATTTACTAATAATGACATATTAATTAGGTAAATGATAGAATGAAAAAATGAAAAAATTGAATACATTATTGTTTAATACGTGCAAAATGTGAGAAATAATTAAATTATAATTAAATAGAAATAATTAAATACATAATTAAAATCGAGTAAACCGCAATTTCTAACTAACAATAACAACAATAATTAACATTTTATTAAAATAATCTCGAGTAGTCTTCTTTAAAAAAAGATGGGCACATTGAATTACTTATCATAATATTAAACAATTTGGTTAAATACAAATCATTAATAAGTTTGGTGCGCATTTTTTTTTAATCTATCCGTGGAGCTGTAGTAAATTCAAGTTCGAACTTAAAAGTGACCAGATATCATTGAATTATTAGTGTGATTTAAATTGTCATGTGCTTGTGGTTATTGAGCTAAGAAACGCACATTATGAAGAACGCCCGACCGACAGTATAGTAAGTTGTATATCGAGACGAAGGTGAAAACAGTTTAGGAAAATTTCGCACACAAGTCAGAAGGCGTCAAAGGCAGAAGGTTGCGTTCGACTTCTCTCGGCTTCTTTCGGTGTGGCTGGTGGGGAGTACGGTGCTTCATCGCTCGTTCCCTCTTCGGGCGCAGTCGCCATGCCGTTCAAACTGCTTCGAGCCGAAACGAAGCCGTATTCCGAGCATTGTGACAAATTCTGAGAGCAGTTGGCGCCGTGCTGTTCTATCGGTAACTTCATAGTGTTGGTTTGTAATTAGCTTTGTTAAATCTTGATCTTATTAATTAACTCCTCGTCATCGTCTCATTCGGCTGCTAGTCGATTTATAAAGAGTTGACGAAGTCGAGGAGGGAAGCATTCGGAAAATTCCACCAGACCTCGCGCGGATGTGCATCGTGAGGAGGAGCGGGCGACACGTGATTGCCGCCGCCGCGTGTAAATAGTCGTGCGGCGCTCAAGGACAGCACGTGGCCTCTCCCGTCGGCACACACCCACACAGAAACACGCGCGCGCCCACCGTGACGATGCGCCGTCGCGGCTGCGATAACGCGCTCCAGTGAACTCGCGGAGGCGCGCGCCAAAGACCGTCGAGATAACGGGGCTAGTGCCGTTTTTCCTGCTCAGCTTTCCTACCCCGTTTGCAAAAGCTCCTGCGTAGGCTCATCAAAAGACTTTTGCAATAGCCGATCGGAGAGGGCAACGTATCATTGCAAGGCAGAGAGAAAGAAAGAGATACGCAAACTATTAACAACAGCGAAGCTGGATTTCGCAGAGAGCGCGGGTATGATGGAGTCGATGACTGGCACCGGGGGCGGGGCCTTCGAACTCGACACCGGCTTCGAGCCTCAAACTCGAGCGCGTTCCAACACGTGGCCCTGTCCGCGTCCCGATAACTTTCCCGACGGTGCCAAGGAGCCCGCCGGAGAGTCTGGAACGCCGCCCCAACAAACGGGCCTCGGCCAAACGGGGGTAGGCATTCTCCCGGTCAAGAAAAACAGTTCCCGAAGGAACGCTTGGGGTAATCTCAGCTACGCAGACCTCATAACTCAAGCTATCACCAGCGCTCCCGATAAGCGACTTACTCTTTCACAAATCTACGAGTGGATGGTGCAGAATGTGCCCTATTTCAAGGACAAAGGTGATAGTAACAGCAGTGCTGGATGGAAGGTAAGAACCGGCATCGTGGAATTGTGTGCCTTAGTTCTGTGTTCGGGAGGAGTGTCGAGTAAGTCGTGAGAGGCGGTGAGGCGACGCGGAGAGAGGAGAAAACCGCTCCTATCGGATCCCATCTCGAATTCCTCAAGCGGCTTTGATACCTCGGAATAACTTGTTCCCCAACACTCGACACATGATTCATTCAAGGATAAAAAATTCAAAACGTAATTTTGTTCACGAGATCTCCACGCGGCCTTCTTTCCTCCATGGACTTATCTGCAGTATCTCAATAATTGTCTCGATGCTTCGATTTTCTCGGCTGTTCCTACCAACCAAATTGAAAAGAACCGATGCAAAATAAGTTTGATAGCCGGAGGATAACCGTCGAGAGAGAGAGAGAGAGAGAGAGAGAGAGAGAGAGAGAGAGAGAGAGAAAACGCGTGCTGGTCTCGTATATCGGATACGTGTATACTCGTTCTAGCCTTTCCAATCGTTTGACTCTCGTCTCTAATGTTCTGCCAATAATACTGCTGCTAAATCTATAGAGTAAATAAATAAAGCACACCTACGGTCAACTCTCGCTGATGGTGAAAAGTTGTTGTTTACCGAAGTTTATAAGGGGAAAAGGAGTCCAGGCGTTGATCGGTTTGGACTCTGCTTACGTGCTCCGAATACGTGGCCGAGGCACGGCTGTAGATTCTTTCGGTGTACGCAACACCGGTTTTGGCTTGTCGGTCGTCGCCAGCCGCTGTTGCACACACTATCCCATGTATGGAGCTGCATGTATTCCGTTATTTTTGCGCGAGTCTCGGAAGAGAAGGTAGGGAAGGTGTAGGAGCAGAGTTCTCTTATCGTACATTTCGATGCCCCGTGAAATGTGGAAAAACGCTCAAGTGATACAGAGAGAGAGGGGGGGGGGAGAGAGCGACGGGAGAAGGGGGTGCGAAGGAATAAATGGTATTGTATTTTCCGTTGACGATTTCTCTTGCGGAATTCGAGCTACCATTGCGATACCCTTTCTCCTCTTAGCCCGGTAACTTGCGGAGAATTTTCGCGGCCACTTTTTTCTCCTCCTGTCCCCCAGTCGCAGTGCCACACGCGTGTCATCAGCGCTCCGACGGTCGATGCGTCCCTCTCACTTTTGATCTCTGCCACGCGAGCGCGGATAGAGGTGGAGAGTGAAAGAAGCTTTTCAAGGTCGAATTTGCATTGGAATTGCCTACGGAGCCAGTCCTGCTATCTTGCGTGGATTTTTCGAGAACGCGGCCAAATTGCACCGCCTCTTTCGAGCTCCGGGCGGCGCCGTACCATCGCCGTCGCTCGTCCCCCTGGTACCCGATCGTCTATGTACAGGCCCCCAACATTTTATCAAGGCATCCGTTTGGGCGAATCCCCCGTATCTACACAGTGATAAAGAAGTCCGACTGATAAGGAGACCGTAGAGCTTCATTACAAGCGAACGACGCAATGATGACAGCGATGCCTTCTTCACAATTCGTCGATTCAAGCTAGTAACGCTGTAATGATAAGCACATGGTTTTAGCGAACTTAAGCCTTTTCAAATAACTGCGTCTCAACGCCGATCTCTTGCTTCCTCAGCAACAACTTATACCATTATTTAATTACTAATAGGAATACATTTGAAACCAATTTGTAGATGACTTATAATTATATCCAGTATTTTTCCATATTTCGTTGTAAATGCAGTTGAATCCTCTCACCCTGTAACTAAACACGTTTCCACTAATTGTAGTAGGTACTTACTGTATTCTCGCAATATACCCACCATTTTCTTGCCATTTTTATCGTTGTCAGTCGACGATTCATTCAACATTCATTCATTTACTTAATCTTAATTCAGACATATTCATAATTACATAACTAATCCATTATAGAATCCTCGTGATTGTGTAATTTATCTTTTCTTTCAAGGTTGTTGTGGCCTTAATACTACTGCCACTATAATCATATTGTAAAATGATTTTATACAATAATTATATAAGCTCCTCGTCTTCTTATGTATAATTGAAAGTCAAAAACTTAGTGCTATCGATTATACTTGACGTAAACACCATCAGGATATATGCCTTGAATACTGAATTGTCCATGGAATTATATAATTATATATAATTTGTTAAATTATCCTTTGAAGTAGACCTTCATATGCCATTCAAGTGTTTTATACTAAATTCAGATGAACAGAATTACATCGATCTTCTTTTTTCTTACATTCGAAATCAAATTCTGTGTTTTAAAATTATAAGAATTTAAACAATTCAATGCATTAATTATTCACAAGCAAGCCTTTATATAAATAATCAAGTAATTTAACAGATGACATTAATTTTATTTTTTTTTCAAAATTAATATTATAATTTTTACGAGGATAAATATTTCTTCTTATCAATAAAAATAGATAAAATATTAAAATATCGTTAATTATTTACAAAAATAACGAATATATTAAACACTTACATTGACATAATTTTCATTTTATAGTGAATTTTTAACCAAGTTAAGGTGAATGACTCTTTTTCTTCTAATATAAAATTTCTTTCGTATTAAGCAAAGCCCTTTTATTTTATACAATAGATGATTAACAAATAACAATTTTTATCAATTTATGAGTTGAATTGCTTTTAGTAATATTTATTTTCGTCGGATCGTATTTGCTAATTATGTAATTCTTAACAACACATTTAAAAAAATAAAAGTAATTTTTCTCTTTTAAATTATTACATTTAAATGAATATGTGATATTTTAATCTGACTAATTAATTTTACATTATTTTCATTATAAGTGTAACAAAATTGTATTTATCTATTTAAAAACACATATTGCATTCAATTTAACTCAAAGCCAGATATATTTATTGTTATTTTAATTAAATAATACTATTATAAAAATAATGAGAGAAGAAATTTAAAATATAGAAAAGCTACAATGACGTAAGAGTCTTCATAGGAGGGTTTATATTTATTTAAAATATTTTCTATAATTCCGTGGATTAACAAATTTTCATTTTAATAGATTTAATAAAAATAATTTTTGCAGAGTTATTTATAAATAAATATTGTGAATTTTTAAACCGCATCCATACTTGTAAAACATATCTTTGCCTATAAATAATATTTATTGGATAAAGTAATTCAATATAAAAACTTTCTTAATGAAATATTATTTACAAAAGATTATAAAATCATAGAATATATATCGAAATAATTGTACTATTGCATAATGGTATTGGAATGTTAAAACTTCAAAATATTTGATAATAAATAATACTGAGAAGACTATTATTTATTAATATAAATGTAGATTATAATTTTTTATTCACTTTTAATTTTACACTCTTATAAATATATATCGAATTAAAATTAAACAACTTCATAATGTAACATCGCGAATAAAATTTGCATGGCAGGCACATTTGAAATTAAATTTCATCTAACATGTGAATATGAGTATTTATGGATTTAATACTTTCGAGATTATTCATCGAGATTTATTATAAACTATTATATTCAGGTAAAGAGAGCACATGTTCTTCGAATTTTTTAAAATAATTATTATTTAATTATTATTTAAAATAAGTTTAATTTTTCTATGAAATAGAATTTATATGAAAACCTCTTTAACCAAAGCTCAGTATACTATTTGCATAAGTAACCATTGTATTTAACAATTACTATTACAATATTGTAATATGAATAAGTAAACTATTTTATGTACAACGGTACTGCGTACCGTAAACAATATTCTACATTTGTAAATTCTTTTGACTATTACTTCTCTATTAAGTTTGATGATCTCTAATAATTTGTATTAATGTGAGAATGACTTATCAAATAAATAAAAATAGCAGATAATTGTTTGTAATTATTCAAATTTAACGATTTTATAAAATATTTTTAAAGTAATTGTATAACGAGTATTCAAGTTTGATACTTGTAGCAATTATACATAAGATCAAGGACAATGCATTGATATTCCTATTAGTTATTAAATAGTTATGCATATCGTAAGTCAACATATCAAAATGCAGAAATAACTTGTTTCAAGAAACCGAGAAAAAACTAATGTCAAAGTAAATCTTGAAAAGCGCAATTACTTTGGCACGAATATTGCAGTTAGGGAGGGAGGGGTGGGTAACGTTTAACGTCGAGAACTAAGAAACTCATAAAAACCAAAAAGATCGGCGAGCGCACGTTATTTGCCTTGACTTTGGTCTTAGCTTAGCCTGTGACTGTGAAATAAAAAAGACGTGATTCTACATCGATGCGCGAATAATATACGACACGTAGAAATCGTATCGCGAAGGCCACAACGCACGCAAGTCAAGGATTCCACATATACAAGTGGAGAGAGAGAGAGAGAGAGAGAGAGAGAGAGAGAGAGAGAGAGAGAGAGAGAGAGAGAGAGAGACAGACAGACAGACAGACAGAGGAGAGGGATAAATAAAGATGGTTCCGCATTTTCCGAAGTTGATATTCATTAACGCGATGCGCTTCATTATTAGCAAGGTCGATATTTTTCTTTTTCATTCGTATCTATCGGCTGGAGCCTCTCATTTCCTTCTATAAAATTTCAATTCCAATCCACACCAAGCAGTAATTAAAAATCGCCAATCTAGCGTTCAGGCCTACATAATCACTAGAGTGTACTGTTTAGTTTATTTATAACATATATTTTTGCTTTTCTTCAATCTTTCAAGTAAACTATAAATATTTTTTTAACATTCTATTCGTACATTTAGCTGCTTTTCCATAATTTTTTATTAAATTTTAAAACTTAATACTAGCGAGTGCGTATTACATCGCATGACAGCAAGTGAACATCTTGCATCTGACGTAACTATCCTTGATTTTTCCTCGTGACAAACATTCCCTTATTTATATTATATTCATGCAAATTTTCAACTTTACATGCACCCATCTGTTCGATTTAATTTCCGTAAGTCATTGAAAACCAATTAATTTGATTATCGCATAACCAGGATAAATATTTTGAA